TAAAAAACTTTAATATCACCAGATGTAATGATCACCATTGTTTTGAAAAAAAGGTTAATATTGCTAAAAAATATAGGAAGGATTGTTCAAATCCTGATTTTACTACTCATGATTGCTTTGATAATTATTGCATTTATACTTTTGAATCATATCTGAAAATATGATAAACCACAAAAGGAAAATAATTTTGTGAAAGTGAACATGAATTTAAGGAGTTTTGTTAAAATGAGGTTTAAGTGAAATAGAATATGAGGTTTTCCAAAAATAGAAAACTTAATTCTCAGAATTCTAATTTACTAAATATAAACCAAAAAATTATAAGAAACAACAAAAAATGTCAAAAGCAAAGTCATGAATTTAATAAATATCCCGATTTGGAATAGGTTCATCCTCATTAAACTAATAAATAAAGAGAAAATTAAATAATTAATATTATATGAAGGAATTTAGATTCAGATATTTATATAAGAATAGAAAGAATCAACAATAAGAAAATATTAGATTTGAGAAAGTTCTGTCCCTAAAACATGTGATTAGAGCTGCAAAAGAAGAGGAAGAGCTCATTTTCATTTAATTAAATGTTAAAGAAGATAAAATTGCTTAGAAAAAAAAGAGAGTTTAAAGGCAGACATTCAAAAACCATCTTTAATAATTTAATTATAATATTTTTTTTAATTCTTGTTTTCTATGTTAATTCCATTCCTTCACTTATTTTTTGAAGGATTAATAATAATAAAAGGAATATTAACATAAAAAATTAAATGATGAATCCTTTCTTTATTTATTTTATTAGAATAAATTTGGTTATTTGAACATTAAAAAGGATAACGAAATTATTATTAAAACTTAATTGAGAAACATAATTATTAATAAATGAGGAGAAGAGAAAACAAATCAGAGATAAGAAAATAATACTTTTATATCTGCATACAATTAAATAGTTAATAGGGAACAATAATAAAGAAAGTTAAAACAATGGATGATATTTAAATCTCCTATTGATTAGAATTTGTAGCACCTAGATGATTGTCAATAAGTTTATCATTGAATCAAATAATTAACAGAAATAATAATATTAAATCAAATAAATTATTCTCTAAATTTATTTAATAGAATTATATAATTTTTTAATACTTAAATAAATAAATAAATAAATCATCATTCTGTCCTTTTTTATCTCCTCTTCTTTTGAAAGAATTGTTCCCATCTCTTAATCACCTCTCTTATTTTATTTGAAAATATATTTCTATCTATTTAATTATCCACTTTAAATTCCATTTTTAAAAATGATAAATCACATAATAAAGTTAAATAATAATGAAATCAAAGTATATCTAAATAAAATTGCACCAATAAAATAGAAAAATAATTTAATTTTGAGTATTAGCTCAGTTTTCTTAATTCTTAAGCATTTGCTTGAACTTGAGCAAATATATAATTGATTACACTAAAAACATTACTTAAGGGAGCTATATATCTTTTGGTTTATATAATAACAAATATATATTTATGATTAAAAAATAAGACTTTTTGACAATAATTAAAAGATTTTGAAGTAAAATATAGATTTGTTACTCTTAAAATCGATCAGATGTTGTTAATAAAAGGAAAACTTTAAATTAATTCCATGTTTAATTGTAAAATAGTCATATTCATTTTTACCTAAAAATTATTATTAATATTAAGTTGATATTGTTGCTACTTAAACAATACCTTCTAATTAGTTGTTATCAATTATTAACAACAATTTAATATAGATAAATGTTTGAAATCGACATGCACAATAAATATTTAAAAAGAATGTTTTGATAGTAAAAATAATTGTAGTTATTAAACATTATTAATTTAAATTACCCAGTGTAAGTTTTAAATAAAAATGAAATATCAGATTTATATAAAGAGAGAAATACAAAATAATTCTGATTCATAAATATTTAAACAATAAAACAATTCATAAA